CTATCAATTTTTAGGCTCCAAAGACACTCTTTCCAGGGAGAGCAGCTCAAATCACTCAGTTCGAATGGCACCTGAATTGTGTACCCCGGAAAAAATTAAAGGTACGTTTGTATTAAAATGAAAGTACTTTAATAATTTGTATTTATGTGAATAGATGATATTCCGGACAGCCCTTTTACAGCTGTCACCAGTACAAATTCTGCAAGGGCCACACAGTTTCGAGTAAGTACACATTATCCTGCTAATAATATATAATTCTTCAATGTAGTAACATATTTTTTCTTTTTAGGGGTAAGGAGACTTAATTTGAAAGCCGTAAGAGTTACACAGCAAAAGCATTTGTCGCCTCGCAACAAAATTTTGTATTAGGGCGTAAAGAATTTGGTACATCGCCAACAGGTGAGAAACCTATATGTAATTATGTTATAATAGTAATTGTACTAAATTAATGAATTTGTTTTGCTACTTTGAATTAGGTATTTGTTTAATTTCTGAATTTTTGATTCATAACATGATTTTGCTTCTTGAGCAAATGTTTCTGGTTTCTATAACGAACACCTTTCACAATATAATGGTAATTGGCGTTTCGCCTATTTATTTACTACAATAAAAATGTGTAAATGTTTATAGAGTTTTTATTAACATATTCAAGCACCTGTGGCTACGCCGAAATACTTCAATTGAGATTAGCAGTATGTTTATGTTGAATTTGATATATTGCAAATATATCGAACTGAATATTAAGCATTCTTTAATCTCAATTGTAGTATTGGCTCGCCGACAATAACAAATCCTGAATACATAGTAGTAAGGACGCAAACCCAGCAATGAACACAGAACATCCGGGGCGAGGGGGGTATTTTGGGGCAATGACGTTAGAGGGTCGGAGGCAGCTAATAGATGGGGACAGTATCAGTAAAAAACCTTGTTATCATTTTGTGCGAGGGAGTGGGCAATCTATAGTTGTCTTCATCTATGGTTCTGATGCGATTCATCAGGCGCAGTCCGTATTTATGCACCGGTTGCGATGACGTGGTCATATCCTCCGGTGTACTGGATCCTCTCTCCTGTCTCGAGCTGTGGCTTTTTCTTGCTGTTTTTCCGTTGGTGAGTGCTGGAAACCGTATCTTGTTTAGCACCACTGTCTCTTCATTTCTGTTGAAATTGTCGTCGTGTTTGTAGATTTCAATGGCTTCTCGTATTAGTCGGGGGCGATACCCTGTTGTTGTGGCCAGGACCTGTGCCTCTCCGAAATAGATGTTGT